AAAAAAAGATTTTAACACTTGACAAAAAAGAGGTGTTGAAATGACGGCATTGTGATGTGTAGACACAGAAAGTTGGGTTATTAACAAAGAATAAAGGTGACGTGTACTGTCTCCCAGTAATTCATACACATCTCCCACTCCTATCCACACAATTTGAACCATTAGTTCAACGGAAGCCCCACTTATACATGTATAGCAATATCAGGCATCTAGATGTGGATTAACTTGTGTCATATAAGACATACACTTACGATGAAAAATAGTGTTTCAAGTGAAGAAAGTAAAGGAAATATAAAACCTTTACGAAACCGATTAGGACAAATAAATTTTACAGAACTTTCATACTGAAAAATAATTTTGGTGACCTATATAAATCCCAGAATTTTCGTTTTCAAATCACTGGAAACAATAATAATTTGTGGTAATTTTTAACAATGGATTAGCACGTCGTTATTGTTTATATGTACAGAAAAAGCTGTTCACTTTGTCTTATGCTGACGTTCAATGCTTAACACTCTTGATCACATACAATATCGTCATAGTATTAGTGTATCAATGCCTGGAGATATGAGCTGTACAATGAATAATACAAGTTTTATTTCAAATATTTTGTGAATATGTGGATATTGTCTTAATGGAATGTTTAACTATGGAGCTTAAATGAAGTAAGTGTATGTTCATCATGAACGATTCGTTGATTTTTGCAAACAAGACATCAAGAATTCTCGACGATCCAAAATTGCTACAAATTGCAAATGACATCGCTGTGAGGAAACACTTAATTCCAAGTCTTATTTTAACAGTTTTAATGATCATTATTGGCATTCCTGGAAATATCCTTATCATCGCAGTTTACATGAAGAGATGGCGAAAATCTACAAGCAGAATATTCATCCTTGCTTTGGCCTTCAACGATTTATTTAATTGCTTATTCACAATGCCTGTTGAGTTGTACTATATCATAAACATTCTTCAAACTGACGATTCAAATCTTTGCAAAACTTCTCGTTTCCTTACTTTCTGGACGAATGATGGGTCTTCTTTGATATTAATGGGCATTGCCTTTGATAGGTTACAGCGAATTTGTAAACCTTTTGAGATTCAACTTTCTAGATCTACAGCAAAAAAGATCGTCGCCGTTTCAATGCTGGCATCCTTGGCGGTAGCCTGGCCATCTCTCTTGATATATGGAACAGCAAATGTACCAATTACAGTTGGTGAATATAAAATGTATGCCAAAATGTGTTTGTATTCCGATAACATTCGTATAGACCCAACCGTTTTTGTGTTTTTTATAATGGCGGGGAACTCAGTGCTTGACGTGTTTTTTCTTGTTGTTTACGGAATAATCTTGTATCATGTCAAAAATGCTGGAAAAGAGCTCAGGAAGATGTCTCAGCGAATCTTTACCCAGACGGTGTATCTCGTAAAATGTCAATGACAGTCGCCACTAACCAGAATGGGTCTCATGATGTGACATTGGTAGAGGAAACCTCAAATAAAGAATTAAAAAGTCATCCAAAGGAGAAATTAAAGCCCCCACTAAGAGACGGTCTTCTCCCGAAGAACCATTGACCGCTGCCACAAAACGGAAACTTTTCACCGAGGGTCGACAAAATCACCTCAGCTGCACGTGTTATGGCGAAAGTCGCAAAACTATTTTCTCGTCCCAAGAGAATTACCGTAAAAGAAAAACAACAATTATGTTATTTGCAGTTACACTTTTATTCATCATATCCTTTGTACCTTACACGGTACTGATGACCATACCCGGGAAATTTGATTCTGAATTCTTCAATCACCTTAGTGATTCTGAAAAGACAGCTTACCACTTCTTTATTCGCTCATTTTTCCTTTCAAATGCCCTGAATCCACTTATTTACGGATTTGTAAGTGAACACTTCCGAACGGAATGTAAGAGCGTCCTCAAAAACATCATGTGCTGTTGAGAAACGAATGTCACAGCCCGATAATGTACATAAGTGGGTACTGAGAACTCAATACGTGTGTGTTTAAGGGCGAGATTTCATAATGAAATACATTATAATTAGTTGTTATAATGAGTTGAATAAATTAATTTATTTGATTGATTAATTTGATATAGCATATCATTTGCTGAAATGCAATTTTTTCTCCAAATATGTAAGTCATTCCGGGGGTCCATCGACACGTCTTTGCCATGTTTTTTTTTTTTTTTTTTTTGATATATTTTTAAAAATTTGTAAAATTTACATTTTGATTTAAATATTGATATCGGCTGAAGATTGGATTTCCTTTTGATAATTGTTTATTCTTTAGTGTTGTATAGCTAAGTATTGTGCAAGGTAAAACAATTCAAAAGGAACTTACTTAAAAATTGTTTATACCAGGTATTGAATAAAGTCATGTATGTTTTAAGAAAATTGTGATAACTTTCTCTCTCTGTTTGTTAAATTCGAATCAAATAAGTGGAATATTAGCATGTTTTTTCTTCTTTTTTTTTAAAGAGATACCTGTACGTTTTTCATACGATGCCAAGACCAATAATTTAATATTATAAATATAGTGAGGCTATCTTACTCTCATCTATCTGTAAACCTTTGTATCCATTTCCACCTGCCAATAAATATTTCTTCCACTGACAATTAAGTTTATTTCTACATTTGTACATGTAGATGACAATCTGTTTTCCTTTAACCCGATGACAATCAATCATTTCTATACTGAGTATTTAGATGATAGCATGTTTTCCTTCCAGTTGACAATAATATTGTTTTCCCTTTAGCTGACAAAATTTTCCTTCCAGTTTACAATTAGTTTTCCTTCTAGATGACGATCGATTTTCTTTCTAGATGACAATAAGTATTTTCTACAGTTGTCAGTATGTTTTCTTTCTGGCTGACAATCAGTATTCCTTACAGCTGACAATCAATATTTCCTCCAGTTGTCACAGTACGTTTTCCTTACAACTGACAATACGTATTCCTTCAAACCGACAATAATGTTTTCTTATACCTACAATAAGTATTTCGCCAGTTGACTATTATTATCCTTCCAGTTGACAATCATTTTTCCCTCTAAATGACAATGTGTTCTTTCTAGATGGCAATCAGTAAAACCCTACACCGACAATCTGTATTCCTTAAAGCTGACAATCAGTTTTCCTTCTAGATTACTATTAGTTTTTCTTACAGCTGAAAATCAGTTTTTCTTACAGCTGGAATCTAGTATTAGGTCTTTCTTATAGCTGACAATCAGTATTCCTTCTAGCTGACGATAAGTTTTCCTTCCAGCTGTCAATCAGTTTTCATTACAGCTGACACTTACTTTTCCTTCCAGTTGACTATCTGCGTCCTTTTCAGCTGACAATTGGTATTCTTACAGCAGACGATCAGTATTAAGCGAAGATTTCCGAAATACCAGGGCCAGTCTTTATAGCCACACATTCCTTTTATTAGGACCATTTTCAGCTTAGTTTGGACTTTCAGTATGGCGTGGCATTCTCGACGTTACATAATTAGCTTCTGAAATTTACACAGCTTTCCTTCACTGTTGAAATATACATGGGATAGAAATTCGGGCAAATGCCAATTAGTGTATAGAATAACCAATTACATTGTTTCGTCCTGCAAAGAGGTGGGGCATAAGTCGTCTCGTTGTCAACAAAAATTTAAAGTTCCTGATGTTATTAATTTCTTAACCAATGAGAATCTATTCGCCATTTGACAGGGGGTAAACATGTGGCTCCGAAAATGCCACGCCTTATTTTTAGTCCAAACTAAGGGGGAAATGGTTCTATTTTAAATGCGCTGTACATTCAAGATATTCATAGAAATCAAATATTTCTTTCACAATATTTGATAATTAGTGGATAATGCATTGAATTCTCCCCCTATATAAGTACAAAACTATAAAACTTTATTTAATTTCACACTATAATATAAAAAAATTGGGTTTTGAATGTTTTAGTAAGAAGTTAAAGGCTAATCGTGTTTTTTGTTTGGTTTGTTTATTGTTTTCGTTTTTAAATTGAAAATGTGAGTGTTTTATGAGGTTAAAACATAAATATCTATGTATATTTTTTAGATATATAATATATATATTTCTTTTTTCAAAAAATGGAGTCAAGAATGCAATTTTTCAACAAATAAGCCCTTTTATTCATTTATGATTAGTATATACTCTATCCTAACCTGCATTGTGATCATAGTGAGTACATTTTATGTAAGTTAAAACTGAAAACAAATAGTCGTCCAACTTCTCATCATTCTAAAAATAATTATCCTATACTAGAGTAACTAATTAAAAGTGGTAAAAATTAAAGCAAAATATATGAGCTGCAACTTTGATGTCGGAATGTGTTTTAGCAAAATTGTAAATAACTATTTCACTGACAGAACAAAAATAACGCTGATAAACCTTTGTTGTTCATATTTGCGAAAGAAAGAACTATCAAGCTTCGATTGAATAAAATTACATCAATGTCGTCCTGTACAACAATGATTTCCTATATAAAACTGTATATTTGACTGTATTTAGAAGTCTTTTTTCTGCGTTATTTTAGTCTAATTGGTCATAAAGATTGAAGTTAAATACAAATTTATCATATTAACACCATTTTACAGCAAAATAAAATTTTCAAAAATGCAGCTCATATTGCTTTAAGAAACGTTTTCTAGTTTTGTGTTTGTATGGAGTGAAAATTTGAAGTCTTAACCAATTATAACCATGTGATTTATATGAATATACCTACAATGTACCGCTAGATACAATAATTTAAAATTAAAAAATGAAAGTGTCGATGAGAAGACTGCTCCTTGAATTTTAGAAATCTCTGTTATTAAATTTAAACAGCTCCAAGGAATACTCGTTGTCAGACAGTTATAAAAAAAAACTTATAGTCAGACACCAATAAAGAATACTTACTGTCAGAGAAAAGCATTAAGTGTTAAAAAGTTCTAAGAATTTTTAAAGGGCATTAAATTATGCAAAAGAATGTCGTTTCTCTATAAATGTA